TTCATCTTCTTTTTGCTCCAGATACTTAAGGAGACCAAATTAGCAAGTGACTCATCAGGAATGGCTCATTGCTCACCTGAGTTCCTGACAGCAGAAAAATCAGCTGCTTTGGACCACCTGGCCCTGTGTTTGGCTTGGGGTGAGGACCTCCTCTCCTGCACTATGTGTCAGTTCCCTTTGAGATAAGTGCAAGGCCAGGCCCAGGACCCCACAGACTCACCGAGGAAGTGCAATGGCTCGCGTGGATGGCTGAGTTCCAGTGGAGGTCGGCAGGTGGGACAAGGAAGGACTTTGTGGCTCTTTGGGTTTCCTGGAAGACTACCAGGGTCTCAAGAGACCAGGCCCCGTTCCAATGCTCCTGGCTTTAGCGGGCAGGACAGTGTGACTAATGCATTCAGTCCTCCAGGAATAACCATGTGCCCTGAGCTGGGAGGTTTCCAAAGCTATCAGGAAAGAGGCTTTCTGTTTCTAAGGGCTGTTGGATTGATGGAAGACAGTGGTGGGAACTGTCAGAGGATGATGCCAACGTTAGAAAATCACCCCAGAGAAGAAGGGAATCTCCACCACTGTCTAAGCTCCTCCATCCAGCCCTATCTGATGCTAGATCTTGACTTTTCAGCTGCACTGCTCACCAAATTCTCTCTTTGACAAACTATCTGAGCAAAAGCCAAAGTGCTAAACAGCAGAAGTGTGTTCTCCACACTCTGCCTCCATACCAGCAAAATGAAAATACGCCCAGGAGTTGGTTAGTTTTCTGTACTAGGTGGCAAGACACTTAAAATGACCCAAATGGAAACTTCCTGTCAACCCTGCGCTGAAGGAGAAAGATGATACCCAGGTTCCTCTTTAGACTGTACTGAACCTTCCTGCCCAACGGAGAGGATTATTCCTTCAATAAACTGTTATGCACACTTCTGTGACCCTTGAACAGGCACCAGGAACTAAGACAGAAAGAATGGCCACAGCCAGAGGGTGCTAAGACTAGGCCTGAGCACAAGACTTTATGAGGCAGGGGAGTGCTTTGATAGGGACACTTGGGCAGGGGCATTGGAGCAGTAATTAAAGGGATGGACAAGTCAATCCTCCCAAGGAAAGTGATACTGCGAGTTGCCTCTGGGATGACTTTCAGGTACAGGAATGTGAGCCTTAAGGCCTCAGGTGGCAGTCAGTCCTACAGGGGTCTGTGAACAACCAGTGTGGACTTGCACTCAGAGGCCCAGAGCAAAGAAGTTGGGCCCCTGTGTGTGTGGAAGAGAGCACTTGATTGCCACCTTGGAAACAGACTAGCAAGAGACAGGGAGTCCCTTGTGACAGTGACAACAGAGTGTTCTGGGCCACACAGGTTGAGAAGTAGCAGAAATCATTGACTCTCAGTTCTGGAGTTCTTTCAGGAAACCCAAAGCAAGGTGCTAGCTGGAAAGGCATCTGAGGACAAAGTTCATACTTCAGCAACTCCAGACATCACTCAAAATCAATATGCATCCCTCCTTAGCAACCCCTACACCAAGGACTAAACCCTGGGCTTGCCAAGCCCTTCTGGACCTCCTTTCCAAGGGTGTTAATTCTGTTCATGGGGCCCTGCCCGGCCATAGCCCCCTCCCTAAAACCTTTCCATCTGATGCACAGTTTTGAATAGGTGCCAACCTATGACAATTCTCAGACCACAGGGAGGAATGACCACTATTCTTTATTTAGCATGCACTGTGCACTGACTGTAGGAATCCCTTCTCTAACCTTAAGCATTCAGGAAATGGTGGCTATTAGCCCCGTAAGACAGAAGAAACAGTGGGGTGACACAACTTGGCCATGGCCACAGACAGAGACATACAGACCATTTAGAATTACAGACAGGCCAGTGGGCTCAGGGCACTCAGGACTGGAACGGGGAGGAATGTGCAAAGGCCAGCGGCGAAGCAAACTGGCTGTGTGTGGTGTCGTGTGGAGACAGAGATCATGGCCCCTGAGCAAGCCCAGCTGCACAGTCCTGGCTCCCACACAGAACACAAGCCAAGCTGCTTGTGCTTCCACTGAGATTTGTTTTCAGGGGAGAGCGCGAACGCAGGCCCCCATACCACAAATTATGCAGTCGAGTTTCCCACATTTGGAGAAATCTCAGGGGTCAGCACATCGCAGTGCACAGGATAAGCCTCGCCCTGGGAAAACCGTCTTCGTGATCAGGGTACCTCCCCTGCCAGGTGAGTGATCAGGGTACCTCCCCTGCCAGGTAAGTAAGAATTTTAAGAGGTGATACAGAGTTACACCCAGCTTGGTGGAAACACTTGAAATAAGTTCTGAAGCCAAATGGCAAGACGTAGTTTGGCCTTCACCTGCCTCTCTGGAACTATGTGCCTATGTATCCTTCAGTGGCCTGGTGAGAAACCTGCATACCAGAAGCCACTGCACGGAAGACATATCCAAAGAGACCTAGGGAAGGCCAACTGCTGACAGATGAGAGAGGAGCCTTCAAATAAAACCAGGCCAACCATCACGATGCTGTGGGGAAGACTGGAGCAGAAGGCCTCAGGGAACACTCTCACTCGGGACCTGTGAGATGACAGCTGGTTACTGTGATTGAGGACACCAAGCACTGGGTCCCTCGTGGGTGTTTTGATGAATGGAGAGGCGGAGTAGGTGGGCACAGCGCTCTGGACAGAGACGTGGCATGTGCACATGCGCAAAGGCCCTTAGAAAAGGGTGGTGGCGAGGCTAGTGTGGCCGACAGGTAGCCACCCCAGCATGGCCACTGGGGGCCCAGCTCCTCTGTTGGTCTTGCCAATTGTTCTTCTGTGAAGTATGACTGTCTCCTCTCTCTCTGCTGAGAGCTGTTAGGGTAGCCCTGTGTCTCTTTGACAAACCCTGTGCCGGGAGTGAAGCCGTGTTTCATTCATTCACTCATTCATTTGTTCTCTCCATCATCAAAGGCGTCTCTTGTGCTGGAGGCTTTCCACTGTGTCTGGAGTCCACACCACAACCCACAGGAGGGGTGAGCACCGTTTCCTGCAGACAGGCTGGGATGACTGAGGGTCTTACCCATTGCCAGGGGTAAGAAGCAGAGAACAGTGGGACAAACAGGCCATACACGACGCTGTGCTCCTAGTCTAAATTCATGGGCTTCCTCCTCCATGGTCCCATCTGCAGTCAAGGAACCCAGGCAGAGGTGGCCTGCTGAGCTCTGACAGGCAGGCAGGCAGGCATCTAGAATTCTGGCTGCTGTCTTCATCGGCAGCTGTTTTTTCTACCAGATCCTTACACCTGGTCCAGGGCACCGGCCCTGATGAGCTGGTGTTCGTTCATTCATTCATTCATTCATTTATCAGGAGTTCAAAATACAAAAGAAAAGAAACGCTACCATGAAGGTAGGCTGCCTGCATCCTAACAGGCAGAACCCAAAGGCAGCCCGCTAGACACAGCTCCCAGTCCCCAGTGACCGTGGCCCCAGGAACAAAGCCATTCACTCTTGGGCTTTCATTGCAGAATCCAGAAGAGAAGCACAAGCAAATGGTGACACCGTGCCTCCTTAGCATGTCCCTGCACGGCGTGGCCTGACTCAATTCCTTTCACGCTCTGTGAAGTGGACACTGGCATTTTTCTTCCTCAAGAAGCCAAGGCACGGGGGTTAAATAACTTGGTGACAGTCACACAGCTGGTAAATGGTAGAGCTAGATCCTGAAGCGTAAACTGAAAATTCCTCAAGTCCCTGAGCCAAGACTTCCAGCATTCCTCAAACAAGAGCTGGGATTTGCTTTGTTTTGTAGTAGGAGTGTGAGATTTAGGGCCAGCCACCTCTGGTTCTAGGGGTACTGGCCAGGATACTTCCCAGCCCAAGACTTACCACCCAGAACAGGAAGTCCTAGGACAACCTACCCAGGAGACCTCTGATTCCTGGCGCCACCACGAAGCCAGAGCCACCACAGGGCAGAATGCCCCACCCCAGGCCCCAAGGGAGAAGGGAGGCCAGGAGCCAATTGTGCTGGGCACCCTCCGGACTCTACTCCAGCCATGGAAGGCTTTCTGTCTCCAGGCTGCGTCCCCAGCCTTGCCTTTCTCCCTCCCTTCCCAGGCTGCTCTGAGGGTCACCGCCTGTGTTCCAAGCCTAACTTGGAATCAGAGGGAGAAGGTGGAGGGGCCGAGAAACTTGAGAACCAGGCTTTGGGGGACAGGAGTAGGGGTGGAGAGAAGAGAAAGCTGGGGAGGAGACGGAGAAAGTTCAGATGCTTCCCACTTGGGAGAGAGCCTTGCATGAGCTGTGGTCCGGCGTGTGCATGTGTTGTGTGTGCCTGTGCGTGTACATGTGTGCGTGTGTATGCATGTGGGGGGGGCAGCCTTGAACCTGGCCAGGAAGGACAGGCCCCACTGCACAATCAAAGCCTCAGAGACAGAAGGAAGAGGCAGAAAGGGACAGAGAGAGGACAGAGGTGCCTGGGGGGAGGGGGGTAGGAGCAGGAGGCGAGGCCTCACAGGGGAAGCCAGCAGCTGTGGCTGCCCTGAGTATAAATAGCCCAGAGGAGCTGGCCCTCAGGACTTACAGCAGTAGGACTCTGCAGCCATAGGTCCCAGCTACACAGTACATCTGGGCAAGGGCTGGCTGTGGGTGGGGCCCCACCCTGGTACCTCTGACAAGATCACCTCACCACCACTTGTTCTGAGATGCTCTGCCAACCAGCCATGCTGCTAGGAGGCCTCATCCTGCTGGTCACCACGGCTGCAGCCCAGCAGAGAGGGCCAGCAGCCAGTGGGCGCCGCCAGATTCACCGGGTCCAGCACGGCCAGTGCAGCTACACCTTTGTGCTGCCAGAGCCTAGTATCTGCCAGCTGGCTCCGGAGGCACCTGATGCTTTTGGGGGCTCCAACAGCCTCCAGAGGGACTTGCCTGCCTCCAGGCTGCCCCTGGCAGACTTTCGAGCCCAGCGGGCCCAGCGTGTGAGGCAGCTGGAGAAGATGCTAGAGAATAACACTCAGTGGCTGCTGAAGGTACAGCTGGGGTTGTGTGATGGACGGTGGGTGGCTAGGGGCCTGTCCTGCCATCAGGTGGAGCATCAGTCCAGAGATGGGCATCCCAAGGCAGAGGGGCTGGGGCTCTACGCTGTATAGAACCTCTGGGATGCAGGGTCCAGAGAGGGCCTGGGATGACGATGCCTATCCGGAGGCTGAGCACCACGTGGCCGGGAAGACAGGCTTCTCACAGATGCTCATTCATTCATCTAAGAGGAATTTGCTGAATGCTGACCATGAGTCAGAGCCATTCTAAGTGTCGGGCATCCTCACAGGGACAGGACAATACATTCTTATCTAGTGGGCCGGGGAAAGAGCGAGAAAAAGTTGTCTGCTGCATGGGGCAGTAACACATGGAGGCAGAGACAGGAAGAAGGCACAGGCTGGCTCTCCCAGCTCAGATCCTTGGGAAATCCCTGGGGAAGTGAAGAGAGCAATGAGTATCTGGAGAGCATCCTGGCAGAGGTAAGGGTACAAGAGCACTTAAGTTCGGAGGTGGGGGTTACAAAGCATTCGTGGATGGATGACTGGGCCACAAAGGCCCTTAGGACTTTGGCTTCTAAGTGCCTTGGCTACCACAGTGTTGTGAATTGAGACTAATGGATTTGGTTTAAGCAGAAAACATATAGGGTAGAATGGTCTCTGGGAGGCCAGGTGTGAGGTCTCCATAGATACGGCAAGCTCCATACGTGAGTATCCGGAGGCCTCCAGGCTGGCTATCTGATTCTGACTTTTTGTGAGGCTACCTGATGAACTGGCAGTCAGATGGCTGAGTCAAAAGGAAAGTACACCACTGCAGTTTGGGCCCAGTGCCAGGACCAGGAGGCTCTCTGGCTATTCTCTGCACTTCCGGCAAATTCTGAGCACAGTTTATGCCTAGGTGAGCACTGGGTACAGAGTACAAGCTTGAATAAGGCAAGCTGGGCTATGAACATGTGGGCACCTGTCCTGTGGGACCAGGATGTGGCCAGTCAGAGTCCCTGAGGAAGGGTCACCCACCAAGAAAAGACAAGGAACCCTACAGCCATGTGGGGAAGGGACTGGACCAATCCATGAAGGTTTAAAACTAGGTAGACAGCAGACATGCCTAGCAGACATAGGCCAAGTAGGATAGTGGCCATCTAGAAAGCCTCTCTCACACCTGTTGCTTCCAAACTGTTGCTTGTTATTATTATTTCATTTATTAACTTATTTATCTGTGTGTACATGTGTGTTGGCATGCACATGCCACATGTGTGGAGGTCAAGGGATAGCTCATGGGAGTCACTACTCTCCTTCCGCCATTTGGGTCCCAGGGTTCAAACTTCGGTCATCAGGCACATCTTTATCTGCTGAGCCATCTTGCCAGATCCCAAACTTCTTCCGAGATCAGACGAGATCGGGCGCGTTCAGGGTGGTATGGCCGTAGACCAGATCCCAAACTTCTTAAATCATACACTCGGTTTTAGGAAAGGTTTGCTCTCCCATAGAACATGCACATTTGGAATTTACACACACACGGGCCGTATTAATGTAACGTACCCCTGGATGATCTCCCTGTGATGTATTGAAGCCCTGTCCCCATTTGCTTTTACAACCCTACTCCCACCACACAGGTAGCCTCCTGTCCCTGCTGCGTCCCAGCTGCTGCTCCTTGCCTCCTGCCCCTCAGCACTTCCAGCCCACCCTCATCCTGTATCCATGTCCCCACGCTGACTGCTCCAGGCTGCATGGGGCCTGGATCCGTGGGGCAGCTGTCCCCAAGTTCTATGAGATGTCTGAGCCAAGCCTTCCTCTCTAGCTTCCCCCTCCCCTCTCCACCCACCTCTCACCAGATGTGTCCCCGGCTATAATAAACAGTGGAAGCTATGGGGATCGTCTCATGCCTCCTCGTCCCCAGATCTTCCTCAGGCTCAGAAGGAATAGGGCCCCTTAACCTACTCATCTTCCTCACCCATGTCCCTAGAGATTTTCCTCTCTCTGTTGGTCTACTCCTCAGCATTTAACCATTCCCAAGCATCCCCCAAGCTCAGGAAGATGGCGGCGTCAGGAGCACCAGCAGCTATAGCCCCTACTCTGCCTCCTCTTCCTCCTCAGGCCGCCTCCCAGGTCCCAAATCCTATAACCACAACTGAGCTCATCTTCCTAGACGTCAGGGCAATGTTGGCGGCCAGCATCATCTTCTTGGGTCCGCCCAGGAGTGCTCTTTTGGCACCCAGTCCGTCCCTGACAGCCACACCTCTACCAACTGTTGGCTTCTGTGTGTTCACTTACACAGGACTTTCCATCTCTCCTTTGGACACTGCCTTTACTTCCTGCTAGCTCCCTACCCCAAGTCCCACCCTCTTTCATTGCCCCCAATTGAGATGTGTACCCCTGGTTCCGAATACACACACACACACACACACACACACACACACACACACACACACACACACTTGAGCCTGCTTCTCATCCCAGGCAGGGATATTGTGCCTTCTGAGACTGCAGCTGGGACTCTCTTTAGGCTCCTGTCCCTATCTGGCATGCCTCAGAGTCACTGAAACTCAAACTCTCCTCTTTGGCTTTCTTTTTAAGTGTTTGGAAACATTCCCTGATTATATCTTCACCACAACAGCTCTGCTAAGCCTGCCTGAGCTCCCCACCGCAAGGTCCTTCTCTTAAAGCTGCAGGGGAGCCCTTCCCTGTTGTGAGCTCCAGCAGCCAGCACCTACCTGCCTGTCTTTAGCTCCCTGCCTTTCCTGCAGTTTACCTACGGCTCCTGACTGTGGAAGCTGGGTGCCGGAGGGCCATGCTGGAGGGCACCTGTAAGCCACCGCCTCCCTGTTGAGGTCCTACCACCCACACTCACGCCAACCCCAGCCTCACCCTCCTCTCACTCTTCCTCGTGCACCCCTCCTTTGCCTTTCTTTACCCTACTCACCCCACCCCTCGCCCCTCCTCCTCTCTCCTCCTAGAAAGCTTCTGCTCAGTGCCTCTGACCCACAATGCTTATCGTGGGCTATACATCAGTGCTCAGCTCTGCTCCTGGCCTCCACCTGGGTGAACTCCTGTGGCTAGGAGGGATGGGGAGGGGGCAGGTATGGGGTGAATGAAAGGGGTTCCTGCTGAGTAGTGCTGCCCAGTGGTTAGCCACAAACCTTCCAGGGTGACCATGGTCCTTTACTTGGGACAGCAGCTATAAGGCAAAACAACAAAGGCAGAGCAAGTCCTCACCTGAGACCTGGGGGGGGGGAATGCCTAGCCACAACTGCGCCACAGATGTACCTCTCATTACTGGGGTTCCCAGGAACTTGTCACAGGCAGTGACTGGTCTTGGGTCTTTCCACCACAGAGTGTCATCCTTGATGTCTCCCTGTCCCCACCTGTCTCTGCGAATGAGGAACACCCAGTCTGGACCCCAGTGCTGGGCCCTAGTCTATGTCCACTGCCTGAGAGCAGCAACCACCCAGCGAGCTCAGGTCCTGTGCTTCCTGTTCTGTCTAAATGCTGCCTAAGGGTTCCAGGGCCTGCCCACCGCCCCATGCTCTGACTCTGTCTCCCCGTTTTCATCTTTCTTTCTGATTCTCTCTCTGTGTGTCTCATCTTGTGTCTTTTTCTCTTTGTTTCTATCTCGATCTGTCTGTCTCTGTGTCTCTCTCCCTGATGTGCAGGTTCCTGGCAGCAAACAGATGAGCTGGGTGCCTCAGCCCAGTGGCCTGGCCTGCAGGCCAAGGGTCAAGAGGACATTCAGCAGGAGCCTAGTGTGGGGTCCTGGCCCTGCCCAAGACCCTCCCAGGCTGACAGGAGCTCCCAGCAGCCCTGGCCTCTCTAAGCTGCCTGTAAATTCTTGGCATTTTCAGCCTTCGGTTATGCAAACAAGAAATAAATCTCAGTTGCCACAAGAAATAAATCTTGGTTGCCGAATGAAATAGCTTGGGGTTGATTTCCTAACCTCTCCACTGGCTTTCTGGGCAGTCAACTCGAGGGATGGAGTGGAGCAAATGGCCTCTGCCTCTCAGAGGAACGGGATGAGTTTTTCCAAGAAGGGCCAAAACACTGCTGCTCCAGGAGTCCTGGCCTGGGATGAGCAATTTGGCTGATATTCAACTGGAGGCAGCAACAGTGGCTGCCTAAGACCTGTCCTGCCCCAGGGGGACAGGTTTATTTGTTTGTGTGGCTTGGCTGGTCAGCCTGTGGGCCAGAGCCACGTGTGTAGAGCTCTCTCTCCTCCAGTGCCTAGAGTGCTCAGGCTAGGAGGCACTTCCACCCCGTGTCCTGAGAGCAAGTGCAAAACCCAGATGTGTTCACGAGCTTTACTTCCTCCGAGACATTTGGTCACCTCAACCTCAGACATTTTCAGTTACTTCAACCTCAGAGTGGCCCTGGAGTGTATCTGTGCTGATCTAAAGGCCTATCCAGGGCCTGGAGCAGCTGAAGCTGTGGCAAGGAACACATCCTAAGGGTGCATTGGCCAGCTGTGGGACCCTGGGAAAATATCCATATGGTTGGATTCTCTAGGAAGTGGGAGTCAACAGACTCCCTGCCTCCCGGTGTAACCAAAGGGTAAGGACAGGAGAAATTAAGGTTGACATTCCCTTGGTGTGTACCACACATTGGCTTGTATACTTAGCATCTAATTCTCATGGTGGCCCTAGGAGGTGAGACTGTCAGTGATGAGGACACTGAGGCACCAGCAGATGGGTGGCCTGCCCAAGGTCACATGGCAGGGGATGTAAGATCAGATGAGAGCTTTAAGTACCCATCTCATAGTGGTGGAGGCTTGAAGTTCAGGGAGTGCAGAACCTCCGCATGGCGGTCCCGACTGTGACACTGCATCCTTGCCTAGGCCACAGGGTGACTTCTGAATCCCAGCTGCGTGCTTGCCACCTGTCTTCACAATAGTGTGGCCTCTCTGGTTCTGCTTTCTAGCACAGGAGGGGGTGCTAAAGTGTGGATATCAAAAAGATTGATCCACAGGTGGGGCATGTCTGCCAGGAAACATCACCATGGAACCTGGAGAAGGCAGGGAATTGACATTGGAGTCAGGTACCCAGGTCAGTTCAGGACTCTCTTACACAGAACCTTTTCTTTAAATTCCCTGAGCCTCAGTTTCCCCATCTGCCAAGTCGGGATTATAATACATTTCTCCAGTAAAGACAAAGCAAAGCAAAACCTGAAAATACCCGGTGGGACCTCAGGTTAAAGAGATACCTGGGGCCCCTTGAAGCTGAAAGCATAGCCACCTCCCTCAGGAAGTTAAGCCAGCAGAGCCTGTGGTTTGCTGCTCCTGACCCTAGCCCAGCCTCTGTTGGTCTATAGCACACAGCAGGACCACCATGCAGGGGTGAATGAAGGGAGATCATTTCTGAGCAGTTGTAGAGACCTCCCTCGGTGAACTCTACAGAGGTATGACTTGATCTCGGGGGAGAGGGCAGGAGAGAGGGGCCAGCAGTGTCCACCAGCCTGTCATAGTCTGCTCCTTGCCAACATTCTTGTGCTCTTGC